GTATTCAGCATGGACTGACATCAACTGGAGAAACACTGGGAACCTGGGAGCACTAAACAGCTTTCTCGACCAACTACGGGACTCCTCAGCAGTGAGCATCCATGACGCCACCCGCTAGCGATTGAACCCAGCACCTTCCAGTTCCGTGACCAGCACGTTACCACTGAGCTACCGGGAAGGAATAAAATGGTCTTCATTTCCTACTTATTTCAGTTCAGAATATAACACGACCTCAATCCAATGCCGTCATTGAGTTACTCTGCTCACGTTGGTCTTAGTTAGCCCCACCGTTCACGACTTCTCATTGAAAGTTAGAGAGATGATTCCCGAAATTTCAAGACAAATATGTAGATAGAGATGAAGATACAGAATACAAAATAGTGGAATGATTTGGTGACATTCAGGCAATTCAGAGTGCTTATACAGCAATACATTGCAAGATCAAATGATGATGAAGTTGATACTTATGATAGAAACCAGTCAGTCAAATGAAAACTAAATACCTGAGATATACTGCTGCTATATATTATTATTAATAGTTTTCCACTGGGTTATTAGTGGAATATACAGCTTCAGTAGCATGCCTCCATTCCACTCCATTCTGTACAGTCTCCTCAACTCGGAGCCGCAACTGCCCACAAGCTTCCATTTCTTCCCCACATGATCTCCTACATGTAAACCTCACCTCAGACGACCAAATCGTCGTTTCCCACTTGCATTCCACTCGACAGCCTGGCATGACGCGTGATGTCCACAATCCGTCTTCTCAGTGTATCCCCAATACAATCCATCTCCACTGCATTCTGCTGCATACTTGTTGGGTGATAGCTTCTTGTCTTGTTGGTTCGTTGCCATGCCAGACAGTCAGAGTTCCTTGTTGCTTATTCTAACTATTCTCACCATCCATCTGATCCTCAGTATTGAGTGAGTGTAGGTGGCAGCTGTTGATGAATGTGTGTAGTTTGTTCGAAGTGCTTTTCGTGACACATATCAAGTCTCTCAACCATCACATAGAAGCACTGACTTACTTGACTGGATTGGTGTTGAAAATCCGGATCATGTTCACGCTTTCTGCTGAGTGCAGTGCAGTGTAGTGCAGTGGAGTGCAGTAGATCTCCACGCACACTGATTTCAGATAAATGAATGAAGACCTGTCTTGTTGTCTTTCCGATCCTGGTTTTGACATCCTCATCTGTGCCTGTGCCATCGCCTGTAGTTGAAACGATGCTGTCTAGGTATGTGTATGTGGAAGATACCGTTTATTTTAGATTTCTCCCGTTAATGGTGATTGGCGCTTGTTGTTGATGCTGTTGTTCGTTGGGTATCTTTATTACCTCCGTTTTCTCTACATTCACTTGAAGTCCAGCATTTGCTGCCTCGCCTCTTCTGTCAACTTGTTAGTTTTTACCCATAGATCTTCGAGTTTTTGCGATATTAGACACAACAGCATTGGTGAAATTCACATCTTCTTCTGTGGTCTTTTTATTGGTCGAACAGCGTATGGCTGTCTTCTCACAGCTCCTCACTGTTTGCTGCATGATCCAGTTGACTCCAATGAGGAGGATTATGGGTGTTAGTAGACAACCCTGTTTTTTCTTACTACTATCTTTCCTTGAAAGTCGTCGCTGAGCCTTCGATTGTGGATCTTTTATCATGTTGAGTCTTCGTATAACTATTGAATGAGGTTGTGGCACTTAGTAATATTGAAGTAACTGCTAAATTGTTTCTCGATCGAGGCTGTCGAAGTTTTCAATACGTAGTTATCATAATTTGATTGTATTCTGCACAAGGAATTAGCTTTCTAATGTAAAGTTTTCGGAAATAAAAGCAATTCTTGGAGAAAAACTCAGATGGTAATTATTTGATGTTAGTAGAGATTTTGAAGTTGTATCAGGAGGAAAGATTGAAAATGAATTCAGTGCCCTGAAGCTTGAATTCAAACTTTTCAAACATAAATGTCTTTCTCATAGATGTGTGAAAACGTATTTCTGTATTTCTAAGGAAGGCAGCGCCGTTAGAAAATGCAATATATTTCCAACAGTAAACTCATCAGAAATACCATTTCAGCAGGTTTCTTTTTTTTATGGTCATGTAAACAGTGTGATTTGAAGGGCAGAGGTATTTTATTATATTGGCATACAAAAAAGTGGTATACAGAAATATATTACTGAAAAACTTGACTATTAAGAAAGCACTCACTCTGTCCTCTAAATTTCGCTAGCCAGAATAGAGCAATTCGAACATTGGACAATAATTCTGTTCATTTATGGTTGGAGTCCATCGCTTGGCTACCCTGACAAATTCAGATGACAGCAATGAGTTGTTCAAATCAATTGAACTTCATCAGGTGACTTGAATGAAGGGACATACCTTAAATAGGATGGTCAGTTTGTGAATATTTCACAAATTACACGATTTGAGTTGACATTTTTCAGAGGCTGAATTTATTATGTTGACTGCATGCACGATGACATAATCCTATAATGATTATTATCTCTAAGGGCAGCTGTAAGATATTGTTGAAATGCTGCCTACTTGAAACTGGACACATTATCCCATCACCTGAATAGAAATACAAACCTGCTGATTAATAAACATACCTTCTAACATCCGAGTTAAGAGACTTCATTAATAACTAGGTCTAATATCTAATTCAGTCACTGAGTTTCTTGTTGACATCCTATGTTGAACAGAAATGTAAAAATGCATTTCCATTTTCATAATCATCTATTCAACTGTACCTTCTCACTTGAATCTAAAACAGCCAGTAATGGAAAGGAAAAGACCTGAACGCCATATAGTTACTGAAAGCTGGGAAAGCAGCAGGACCAGATAGGATTCAGCTAGAAGAACTGAGAACAGACGCAGAGACAACAGTGGACATGCAGAAGGTCTGGAAGGAAGGAAAGGTACCTGGAGATTGGAAGGAGGGTTACCTTCTCAAAATCCCAAACATGGGTGACTCAAGTGTTTGAAAGAATTGGCGAGAAATCATGCTCCACTCCTGTGCACACTAAGTAAAATATTATGCTGCATCCTCCTGTAGAGGCTAGAAAATGCTGTGCATTCAACTGGGTTACAACCGGAACAGGCTGGCTGGCTAGCTTCAGAAAGTATAAATCATGTGTGGATCAAATTACAACTCTAAGCACACATCATCATAGAACAGATCATAGAATGGCAGTCAATTGTATCCTTACCTCAACTTCATCGACTTTGAAAAGGGACACGATAACGTCAGTCGAGAAGTTATTTGGCAGGCAGCTGCTTCAACAGTACGCTTTTACTGCCACAAACATTTATCAGCCTTATTCAACGGCTATATGACGACGCTACATACCAAATGATTCACAGCATAATGGAAAGCTCAATGATGCCTTCGAAATGAAGGTACGAGGAAGACAAGGTTATCCACTAACACCGATGATATTCCTGACTGTATTCGATTGGACTGGACCGAGTCATGCAGCAAAATGTAAAGAGCGAGAAGAAGGAAATATGCTGTCTGACCGATGAGAAGATCCCAGAAGACGATTTGAATTTCGCTGATGATTATTTATGTCTAATGTCTTATGTCAAACAAACTCGGAGATCTGCAGACGAAAACCAACAGATTGACAGTAGAAAAAAGGCAGCGAAGACGGGACTCCAAGTGAATATAGAGTAGACAGAGATGATAAACAGACCGCACCACCACCAACAACAAACACCAATCATCATTAGTAGGAGAATTCAAAAGGAAGTTGTCTCTTCACCTACCTACCTAACCAAGCAACATCGTTTCAAATTCAGGCCACACCGACACACATGACGATGTCAATGACAGTCAAGATCGGAAAGACAACAAGACAGGTCTTCATTCATTCATCTGTACTCAAATCAGTGTGTGTGGAGATCTACTGCACTGCACTGCACTGCACTGCACTGCACTCCACTGCACTCCACTCCACTGCACTCCACTGCACTGCACTCCACTGCACTCCACTCCACTGCACTCCACTGCACTCAGCAGAAAGCGTGAACATGATCCGGATTTTCAACACCAACCCAGTCAAGTTCAAGTCAGTGCTTCCATGTGATGGTTGAGAGACTTGATATGTGTCACGAAGAGCACTTCGAACAAACTACACACATTCATCAACAGCTTTCACCTACACTCACTCAATACTGAGGATCAGATGGATGGCGAGAATAGTTAGAATAAGTGACAAGGAACTCTGACTGTCTGGCATGGCAACGAACCAACAAGGCAAGAAGCTATCACCCAACAAGTATGCAGCAGAATGCAGTGGAGATGGATTGTATTGGGGATACACTGAGAAGACGGATTGTGGACATCACGCGTCATGCCAGGCCGTCGAGTGGAATGCAAGTGGGAAACGACGATTTGGACGTCTGAGGTGAGGTTTACATGTAGGAGATCATGTGGGGAAGAAATGGAAGCTTGTGGGCAGTTGTGGCTCCGAGTTGAGGAGACTGTACAGAATGGAGTGGAATGGAGACGTGCAACTGAATATGTATGTTCCACTAGGAATGCAAGTGACAAATCATAATTAATACGAAGGAAAGATTGTATATATTTTATTGTTGATTAGCTATAACCGGTGAATCAATTCGTACAGATGGATATTATGATGGACATTTCATTCGAGTTGCCATTTTTTGTGACTTTGGAGAATTTGTATTACGATGGATATCTATCTATCCAAGGTTGAGAAATGTGAAACAGGTATCATTCTTGTCATAAGCTAAACGCATTAGCTACAACAGCACTAATAACCTTGCTAAGAACTGAATAGTCAAAACGTGGTAAAACTTAATTAGTTAGTATAATTCTTGAGTCAAATTCAGTGTAATTGTTTCGAGATAATTAATTGGCTGAGATATTAAAGTTATTTTTTTATTGAAACGTTTTGTTTCTACTCATAAGTAATATAGAATTGTGTCATTTTTACTCATATGTATTTTTATTTATTGTCATTATTTTTATGGTAATACAGTTTATTCAAATTATACAACGAAACTCAATGGTCACTAGATGAAAAGGCGGAGTCAAATCAAATGAATGAAACTGATCTGAGTAAGTGTTATTTCTATATATAAAATTTTAACGAAATTTTCAAAGCGTACATGTACGCCATAGCATTGATATCGTCTAAAGACTTACACACTAAGACTTTGTGATTGGTACACTGAATTGTTGCGTTTTTTTTTCAGTGTCTAATGGATCATCTGGTATGATCAAGTTGGTTTAGTAGAGTGATCTGCAATTTTTCAACAGATCATTTAACTTTCCAGTAGACTGGTTCTTAAGGATTTGAGAATACTTTAAACGGTATATTTCTTCTTTTCAAAGTAGGTTTACATGAAGAAAACCCTCAGAAATGATGGCACACTGTCTATTTGATCTTAGATTTTGTAAATATAGTTTTAAACAAGCGTGAAATGAGTGTGTACTGAACATGATTTACATCGTTCTTACACTTAAGCTGAAATTCATCACCACCATAAGGTTTCTGATATGTAAAACGAAGAGTTCCAATTGTTAGAGTAATTAGTATGAAAGTTTAAAACATTGAAATTGATGCAGCAGCGTATTAAAAGTTGTTTCACTCAGCGTAGTTTCTAAAGTAAAATATTATTAAGTTCTTTGCTCAATCCAAACGAATAAATCAATAGGATTTCAATAGTGTACTATGCTTATGGCGAGTGTTCATTGCTTTCTAAAGGCTCTACAAACAGCTTCAGTAAGTAAATCAATTAGTGACTAAGTCATCAGGTTTTTTATTGGTGGGAATTCAAGAAAAAAAAGGATGTAGAGTATTCAGGAATCAATTCAACATGATCTAATATTCATGTTGCCATCTGTTTTACCGTATGGCTTACAATGCCTAAGGCTTTACTAACTGACCTAAATAGGATTCTTTAGGACGCTGTTCTCATTGTAAAACACAAATGAAAACTAGTTGATGGATGAAATCAGTGTAAACTAAATGTAGATTAGTTAAGTGTTCAATGTTAAACAGTTGGAAGCCTCAGTTGCTCTGTGTTTTATGCTTTTTGCTTTTATCCATTTCTAAGGTAGATCCCTCACTGCTAAGAAATCCCATACTAGGATGAAACAATTATCTAATTCTCCTAGGTTTCTAATGGTTTCTAATGAATATCAATCTGTAATTTATCAGTAAGGCCTACCTTCAACCTTTAGGAACATTTAGTTATTCGGAACTTTCAACCCCCGTTATTCGATGTGCTAGCTAGGAAATTTGTAGATATATACCATATTATTTTGTCACTTGGTTGAGTGAACACGCTAAATTTACACCAGAATTTAGGAAGTGGCAGCAACATGCATCACTATTCCCGTGTTAACTCAAGTCATACAGGTGTCAGCCATGGGTTAAATAGTTTAGTGGTTAATCCTATAACTTCAGCACTGATTGACACAAGTTCAAAAGTCCTGTATAATGTTGTGGTTTCAGGAATAAATTAGCTTTGAACAGCAGTAAGTAGTGGAATTGTTTCCTGACGACTGTCCATTGCCTAGCACCAAATGTGTACCAGTTCATTAGGGTCATATATCTGGCTATTTAGCTAATCTGGAAGTGACATCATTTTGACACAACACTAACGGTCATCAGTTAACGTGGTTAGCATGACAACTCCATTAAAATGAGCATACCAATAAAGGTATTGGCTTTTCAGTTAGCTTAGCCGTTCGTTTCTCTCTCACTTCGCTTGATTCATATAACCAATCTTGTGTAAAATAGTTGCATTGAATTGAAATGCCATATGATTTCACTAGGAAAATTCTGTCTAATGGATGCAGCGACGCAATCCATAGTGAAAAAAAGAATATCTCTAATATAGGTGTAAAATTTGGGCACTGCTGTAGAATTTAATTCCATATTACATTTGTTTATTTGATTTATAACACAGTGTCATATAGTGCTATCTACTTGATGACCACGTTTCAAGCATAACTTATCACTGCTCATAATCATATCGATGTAATCACACACCACTTTCAACATTTGATTTTTATTGTTCTGTCACCTCATATGATTTGTTTTTATAAGTAGTAAAATTTTCCATATCTCTGGTATAGGTGTGCTGTGTCATGTCTATTACATGTGTTGGGTGTTAGCGGATTCGATGGACAAAAATTCAATAATCAGTCTCTCTCAATCTCCACCTAGTTATATTGGAATGAAGTATAGTGGTTTTATCCAACCCATCCTATTGTTTGCTTGTGTGTTGATACGTGCATTGCAATATCTGAGTGCTTTTCTAAATTATTGATCTTTTTGAGGTCTGTCATTCTATATTTAGCTAAATTCCTATGTTCGACTATTATAACTGACGGCGATCGGCTAGTTTGACCTATTTACTTGACCTAACTCTCAGTCATTACATGGAATCGCTAAATTTGTTTTATCGGATCCTTAAGCCAGTTAACAAAGCTTATCTCTGAGTGAACTTGTAGGTTTAAATGCTGCCTTAATTCCAGCTATGTTGAGGATCCTACGTAAAGTTTTTGATGTACCTTTCTTATAAAGTTACACAATGGAGGCTGTGAACGCCATTCTACTCACGTTGTCGTTATTATTCGTACTCGTGTTACTGTTATTTTTTCGTTTCTTGTGTGTTCTTACGAAGTTCTTAATAAACTGCAGAGGATGATCATTAACTATTAGCGGTTATTTTATGTGCTTCAGTCCCTCGTTTAGACCCTTGAATTGCATAGTCAGTTTTCCAGTTCTGTCACTTAGACATTTGACTAGACCTGCTTTAACTGACTAACACTGGATGAGAGGACTTGAAGTCTAGATACCGTTTACAGAAAACTTTAGGTAGGATCCTCAACATAGCTGGAATTAAGGTAGCATTTAAACCTACAAGTTCACTCAGAGATAAGTTTTGTCAGCTGGTTTAAGGTTCCGATAAGGCCTTTTTAGCAAAATAATCTAACCTATCAAATTATATGTAATGATTGTGAGGTCAAGTATATAGGTGAACCAAGCCGGTCACCATCAGTTATAATAGTCGAACATAGGAATTTAGCTAAATATAGAATGACAGACCTCAAAAAGATCAATAATGTAGAAAAGCACTCGGATACTGCACTGCACGTATCAACACACAAGCAAACAATAGGATGGGTTGGATAAAACCACTATACTTCATTCCAATATAACTAGGTGGAGATTGAGAGAGACTGATTATTGAATTTTTGTCCATCGAATCCGCTAACACCCAACACATGTAATAGACATGACACAGCACACCTATACCAGAGATATGGAAAATTTTACTACTTATAAAAACAAATCATATGAGGTGACAGAACAATAAAAATCAAATGTTGAAAGTGGTGTGTGATTACATCGATATGATTATGAGCAGTTAAGTATCAACAAAACGAAGATAAAACACTGTGGATAGGTAGATATAATTATCTTTCCCTATCTGATCTCACTTGATAAACTTTTCAGACATAAAAAGATTTCATTTGATTATGAAAATGATTGATGAAGTAAAACGCTATGAGTAAACGATATCCCATTATGCCTAGAGAAAATGATGGCCAATTTACATCAGAATAACTTGGTTTTGTTTTTTATGAAGAGATGACTACGCCTTTTTATTGATATTTGTTGTAGTATCAATGGAAACCTCATCTCTAACTGAAATGCAGGTATATTTAGCTGAAGAATCCAAAATTAGGACGAAACACTCATCCTGGATTTTATTATTAGTCATTGTCCATTATTACTGTCAAAACTGACCTACCAATAATATGAAGGCAGCCATAGAAGAGTCTGTTTCCTAACAGTAGCCGATCTATTTGGTACCTAACGACGATGTACTACATGCTGGTAACAATAAACTTGACAGAAAGCATAAGTTGATAATACCCAGTGATGTGATTTCAAATTGTAACAAAATGTCTATGTTCTAATTTTGTAGATACACTTTCTCATCAGTTACTACCAAGCGTGAAACCTATGTCTGTCATTTTTTTATGATTATTTATAACTACAGAAGGAAAATGTAGTAAAAAATGATGTGAATTCTCATCATTATTATTGCACTAAGAAACTGAACATCGTTATAATTGTAATGTCAATGTACGAAAGTATCGAAGTAATAATCAGTCAACTGTATACAAGAGTGGGGAGCTGAACTGGATTTCTAGACTATGACCTGTTACTGTTAACCCAATCTGATTGACCAGCGACTATCTCTAAAGCCCATATGAAGAAATGTCAGAAAACTAAACCCCTGACACATTGACTACCTTCACATATTCATCACTTCAAAATCCCTTATGAAATATAGCAGCCACACGTTCACAACAGTTGTGCTACAGCTAAGTATTCGATGTTCAATCAGAGATTATATCAGGGTCAATAAACAACGGGAGTGTTCTCACAAATGAATGCAAGGTATTTATTCTATCTCTTATGACAAAAGGTTTGTTGTATTTCGGCTCACTTCAATTCACAGGTGACCTAAAGGTGAACATATAATAAACCAACAAAATCTAGCTAACTAATATAGATGAATAGAAGGACACACCTCTGAAAGGCTAAGTCATAAAACAAGTGAAATAGCCATCCGGTGTCTGAATCACTCTGACGTGACCAGAGAATTCTACAGATCAACAGGATTTGTTTTTTACTAGCCATATTGTTACTTACATAAGACCTTCATATGAGAAGTAATATCCTTAATTTAAGCTAGTGCATGAGTTTATGTAGTGTATAAACTAGAATAACAATCTGATCACACATTTCATTGTAACAAACGCATTAGCATCATCAGATTGTTAACAGCAATTAAAATAACATGAATAAAACATGTTACAAAAAAGGGGAAATATTAAAGCCATTATGAGAGCATGAAAAGGACTTAAGTTGTTCAATAGAAGGTTTCGTTACCACTTAATACTCTAATTTCAGACAACATAGTTTCTAATCATGAACAACTGTTTTCCAATGGAAATCATGATGAAAATGCAGCTGAAATACTGCTTACCATCGACGTATATCGACATTATCTGCTTACTTTGTAAATAGTTAGTAAGTTGGCCATCCAACTAGTTGTACACCAACCAATCAATTCGAAAAATTGACTTTATTCAAGTTTTTGGCAGATACGCTTGGATTGAAACCAGAGGTTTTAGTTTAGCATATAATTCCGACCTGCTTAGCGAACCGTACAGATCAGCATCAATGGTTCCTAACTGCTCTTAATTACATTATGTATTTAAACACGTGATGATGATGACAGTTATTATCGTTTGAAATGATAACTGAATATACACTTAGTGTTGTTGCTTGTAATATCTCATCGTTAAGTGGACCGAATTAATTGCTCTTTATTGGTATATAGGCTCCTGAGCAGATGCCTAGATATTGACTGTTTGGACTATATACTAATGGTTGTTTAAAACAATCGTTTCCCAATTTGAGTCCCAAATCGGACAAAACGCACATCCTGGGCCCCACTTCTAGCTACTATCCATCATCGATTTATGAATATACACTTGTTAGTTAAAAAGTATTATCATTTCAAGGTTAATTTCAGGCAGATACTACGTAAAAAACAAGATTTTGTTCAAAAACTTCTAATACTTTTAACTGAGAAGGAACAAATTTTCGTAGAGAAATACTTTAGTTAAGGGACATGTATACAACAAACCCCTATTATCAGTTCTGAAGTCTGCAAAACAGGATGCTTCGCTGAGGTTCGATAGACAGTGAGTGAAAACATGCATGTCGTCATGCCGATAAGTAACAAGAAATATTCAGACAACATAAGGGCATTCGTGTGGGAACGCACCGGCCAACAGAGCTTGGGCGGTTCCATCAAGTATAAAGACAGTGAACTATAATTATCAACAAATAATAATAACTAATAGCCGTTTCATAGGAGTTGGATCTCGTGCCTCAGTTGTCTTAGTGGATGACACTTCGGCACCTGAAGTGACGAGTACTGGCTCCGAGTACCTATGGAAACACCATCTCTCACTGGGATGTAGTACATCTCACTGGAAAGTCTAAAATAAGACGGAACGCACATCCCGGATTTCATTGCAAGCCACCAATATGTCAATTGTAAAATAATGAATATGCTTGTATCCCACTGCGTTGGCATCCTTATTGAGAGTCAGATACATCAATCACAATCTCAAACACATCATTATAATTAAGACCTCTATAAGCACAGTTTCTCTGTCAACAATGATCTTTTCATATGATCTAATCAAACAAAAGCTGGAGGCTACATATTTGAATATAACATCAGAAAAAAAAAATCCTATTTCCATCACTACCTTTCATTTCATTAAACAACTGATAAACGAGGTTATCAGGTTTCTATTCATCATGGACTGACATCAGTTGGAGAAACAGTGGATATATGAGTGCACTGCACAACTGTTTTGTCCCACGACTGAACTCCTCAGCAGTGCGCACCCATGACCTCTCCCACCAGGGATCGAACCCAAGACCTCCAAGTCCCGTAGCAAGGACGTTACTGTTGAGCAGCCAGTGGGTTGGTCCACATTATCTACTTCTGCCAGTTCAAGATATAGCGCGACCTCCATGCATTGTCGTTATTGAGTAACTGTCTTCTTGTTCGAATTGGTTCGTCCCATTGTTACTTCTCATTGGAACTTCAGGAATCACCTCTTGAAGCTAGTTGCGGTTTGGGGGTATTTTATTGAGTTCAAGATTTTGTTCATCATGGAGTGACATCGGTTGGAGAAACACTGTAAACCTGGGAGCATTGGACAGATGTTTCGTCCCAGTATGAGACTTCATCGCAGTGAGCATTTATGACCCTATCAGGGTAGTCATGGAGAATTTTGCCAATAAAATTATTTACACTTATTTGACTACATTAGCAGTGATACTTGAAATTTCTGCTTACCATTCCCTTAGTGAAGAGATTTTGTGACATCTATCTATAACGGTTATGTGGTCGAGTTTATTTCATAATATTTAACTGGTTAGTCGTGAGATGTTTTGAGATACTACTTGCAAGTAGTGTAAACTGAAACCCTAAAAACTGTTCAGTCAGGTTAACTTAGTTGTTCTGAAGACCTATTTAAGTCATTCAGAATAGCGTGCAATGATCCAATCTCAAATAAACCAACTTACAGTACCTTTCCAAGAAACCTATGGGAACCGGAAAGATATTTCACACTCTGACTCAATCATATTTGGGATAATTTAGTGATTTGAAACTAATATTATTTATATAGGAGTGGTGGAAGTGGAAATATTTTACATAAATATCGTTTGATGTAGTGGCCTAGAGGACAACGTTCTGCTGTTTGAATCAATTGATCATGGGTTTGAGTAGTAGTGGGGATAAAATCACTTGCTGAAAGGCAATTTCACCCAAGCTATGAGTCCCAAATTGGACGAAATGCACCTTCTGGATTTTACTGTTAGCCGGTATCTATCATAAAAGAAATGTTGAAGTCAGATCAGAGTTAATAGTATACTACCTCTGGATGTAGGATTATCATTCAGCCAAATTTGATACCAGGCAAAAAACTATCAATTGGTCTTTTTCTTTCTAGTACAATCTGTTAATTAAAATGTTGTCTTTCATCAAATTATTTTCAGTCTCACTATCAACAGAAGAAAATAACATTGAGGAAGAAAGTTTAGCATCACTTGTGAATAAGACTAGTATTCAAAATGATAATCAAGCATGTAGAACAGATGGTTTAGATGATAGGACATGGCATTCTACATCACCATGCTCATCAGAATCTGCAGATTCTTTTTCAAGTGCTAGAAATGATTTAAGAGGTTATCTAGAAAATTCTCTATCACCAAAATCAACATTGAATTCAAAATGTACAAATATGGAGTTAATATCATCTGAACTTTTATCAGAATTTATGAATATTGATAATATGACACCAATGAATATTTTAAGTATATCAAATCATTTTGAGAATACATTGGATACTTCATTGTTCTATGCGGATTGTCTAACTCATGATGACAATTATTCATCATTTTCTAATGACTATGTAAATAAAGATGATCAAAAGAGAAATTCTGAAGAAATTTTATATTCAAAAGAATGTAAAGAAGGTGATTTATTAAAACTACATCAAGTTGATGAATTGGATTCAATTGATAATACTTCTCAAGGAATACGAAAACAATTATTGAAGTCAGGAAATGATAAAATTCATCTTAATACATCACCAGTTTCATTATTATCAATGGATACATTTTCATGTATTCATTCACCTAGTGAATTAGACAAACAGTTAGCAAGTGAAGATATTGCTTGGATGGATACATTAGATGTCTCTGGTAAGTTCTTCATGTGATTATATAAATTAATGTATTTTAATCAAAATTCTTAACCATATTGTATCCTTCTTGAAGTTATATTTCAAGATGTAACTTAATGCTAACTGAACTAATTGTTATTCATTGTAGACTGATATCACTTGGAGGAGCAAAAGAAACCTGGGAGCACTGGACAGCTGTTTCGTCCTAGTATGGGACTACTCATCAGTGTGCACCCACGACCCCGCCAGGGATATAACCCGCTACCAGGTTCCGTGGCTAGCAGTTGTGACCGGAGGGGGCAAAGCCTGACGGTCATGAGGAAAGTTACGCAACGATGACATCGGGTGGCGGTTGAGCTGTATCCTGAGCTAACAGGAGTTGGAAATATGAACCACTGGATTCTAATCCAGCGGCTCAGTGGTAACGTGCTGGCCACGGGACCCGAAGGTCATGGATTCGATCCCTGGAGGGCGGGGTCGTGGGTGCGCACTGCTGAGGAGTCCCATACTAGGATGAAACAACTGTCTAGTGCTCCCAGGTTTCCTTTGCTCCTCCAAGTGATGTCAGTCTACAATGAATAACAACTTGAAAACTAATATGTTGGAATACCATAAAATTGATAATCTTAGTTGAAATCAGTTGGTTTGTACAACCAACATGTTAAATGTACGACCAGTGATTCAAACTTTTGTGGACAGTTACGTCAACTTAATGACAGATGGCATAGATTTTGAGTAACATGGTTGTCTATTGATTAACTGAGTTTATCAGAGTGCAAGGGTCACCTCTTGTGCAACTGGTAACAGGTATTTTTGACACTTGTAATTTCCTCTTACGACACTGGGTCAGGTTGCTGTATCTCACCTAGCAAAAGAACGCCTGTGAAGATACAGAACATTATCAATCACTAAGGTGCAGCTGCATCCAGCTGAGAAGACTCAAATAAGAGGAGACACACGTCCTGGATTTCACTGTTATCCAATAAGTAAAGCAAAATGGAATGAATACTGAGGTAATATCAAGGCATCTGAATAAGAAGCCGTCTGCCACCAGAAGTCGAGCAGTCTGACTCATTATGGTAATAGAAAAGAACAACCACCAATAAATAAAAATTTTAAGACTGTTTTTAATTCCTGAGATATAGTCTCACGATCCAGCTCATAACATTTTTAAAAGTTTAATATTTGAAGTAGTTGTGTTAAGATGCTGTCATTAAGATTATCTTTTGTTATTTCGTGTAACTGAAAATTCCTGTTGTCTGTTATTCATTTAAGTTGTCAACTTTTAAGTTCAGAGTTGTACATTTAAATCAGCTATAACTATCCACATTTGAGTGATCAGGTATAACCAATAGGTCGTGGAGCTATAGAGCTGTGAGTCATTGATTTAGGGAGATAAATTTCAACCAATGGGTCACAGGTTCTAGCCCTGATCCACCTACTGAGGTTTGGACAGCCAGTTAGTGGCATCATTAGCCCAACACAACAGGTGTAGCCCATTGCCTACTGAACAAATCTGGGTTCTCAAGGTTTTTGATTGGATTTCGATTTCTTTTCGAATAGGTCGTAAACTATAGGTTGGTTTGGTTAAAAGCATGATTTCGTTCATCTATAAACAGTCGCTAAACTACCTATATTTCATTAGAAACCAGACTGATACAAGGAGGTTTTAAAGCTTCAAAACATTCTTCATTTTCTCACACACTGAAATTTTTCCTGGAAATTTGGAAAAGATATATTCCTTGACGCTTTCGTGTTCAGTAATTGGATTAACTAATATACTGTTTGATTTACCACTTCAACCAACTGATTAGGATTGTCCAAATGAAATATTTGCAAAATTTCACAGATTACTATTACTAGGAGGTATGTTGCTTTATGTGAGTACTTTTTTCGGTTGTGTTGAATTTTCTGAGCTGGTTGTTTGAACTGTCAAGCTTTCATTGTCTTTCTCAACAACATTCACATCACTAACTTCAATTTAAAGTGAATGATCAGTACCTCACCGCTGTTGATTCAGTAGCTTGCCTGGATTAACTGATTTGTTATTGGTTGTTTCCTTTGATTATTGCGTCATTGACTGCATAGGTTTTCTTGTTTCCTATGCTTGTTTCTCTACTCGACTCCTAACTTTTCAGTTGCTTGTCATTATTTTTAATGATTAACAGATTGAATCTGACTACAAATTCATCGATTTCTGACTATCCTGAATATTAAGCTTCTAGGAATCCTCTGATATTCTTTGTGTTTTCTTTGTCCAAGATTTCTACATTGTCAAAATTGAATTCATGTCCATAATTATCCACGTGCATTGAAATAAGGAATGAGATGTCGTGATGTTTAATAGCCAGTTGATGTTCATGTAAACGAAGGTGAAGAAGGCGACCTTTTTTTCAATGTAACGTTGATTTCATTTGTTACAGCTGATTTTATAAATGACATTCAGTTTGCCTTGCTTGATCGTTGCGTCCTTTTGGTCTGAGGATTTGTTGGTCTATGAGCCATACCAATTCCAAGTGGTCTCAGTAATCTTGTCATGATCTCTGATATATTCTTTACGTGTGGTAGTATGGTGCGTTTTTTAATTTCTGTGGATGACTTTGTAGTTGATAAGTACTTTAAAACATATTCTTATCACTTTAATCAATTCACATGGAAGTCAACCAAGTCGAACATGAGGAGAGTTACTCAGCGACGACATTGGATGTACGTCATGCTATATCGTGAACTGACAAAAGTAGGAAATAGAGAGCAATTATTCCGACCACATTGGACCAATGGTGATGTGCCGGCTGGGGAACCTGAAGGCCCTAGGTTCTGTACCTAGTGGGGTGGGGTCATGAGTGCACACTGCTGAGGAGTCATATACTAAAACGAAACAGCTGTCCAGTGCTCTCAGATTTCCAATGTCCCTCCGATTGATGTCAGTCCATAATGAATTCCGTGAAATTAATCAACAAATCTCCACAAACCTCCAAACGTGAGATGCTTTCCGAAGTATAACATAATTTTGAGCAAATCTGAAAGCTAACTTAAGTATGAACCTTATGAAAAGAAATCGCATGAAGAGATTACAGATTACAGTTCTGAAACCTTTTGATATCAATTTCTTTGAATGTTTTCCATGTAAAGGTTGATGAAAGTTGAACGTCAAGTATGTATTACTTCTGGTAGTTCTTATTTGTTGAATTATTATTCCACTTGAATTGTTTATTGATCAAATAATAATGTCTTTATTATTTCTTCTTAAAAATTTCTTTAACTTATCGGTCAATTGTTTCTGATCCTTTATTTTTCACAACATAACTGTTGTGATTTATTCAGTCCTTGATCAATATTTACATAATACACTTTTCTAATTTTCTGATCATTTTAATTATGCTAGTGAACTATGAAAATGATCAGTATTCAGAGAATTTCATCTAATTATGATTAAACATTATAGGTCTCAACTAGAATTTCAAGTATCAGTTATTTCCTAGATCACATGTATGTAAAAAAGGAAAATATACAAAGAAAATGTAGGTTTCCTTCCACGTTTCTTCCAGAGTGTTCCAGTGTTCTCCCATGCAGGTTTCCTCAAATATATTGCTTAATGACTCCCAATTTTTCTGGATGGCTGGCTGACGTGAAGATGTTCTTTGTAGTTTCGTTCTTCCGTTTCTGTACTGGGTGTTCAGCTTGAGCTATGATCTATCACCAACTTCGTTGAAGGCTTTCAACTTGATTTGGGAGGTTCCTTGCACTAGATATTAGACACTGGTCTGAACCTACATCTGCTCCCCTTCATGATCTTGTGTCCAGAAGGTTACGTCTCCATTTTCTTCACATCGAGATGAAAGGGATCTGATTTTTAGTGTAGTATATCCATTTAGTGAAGTCCTTGTTGCTTCGTGGATGTCCTTATGTTTGCACACACTGCCTCCAATCACCAAACTGTCAAATGCACAAAAATCTGCAAACAGTTCTCCATTCTCATTCATTTCACCGAGTACCTCTCGACCCATGATTGGCTCTCTTCCTATGTTGTCTGCTCACACTTCGGCATTCATGTCACTCATTAGGATTTTGATGTCACCAACTGAGCTGGGGTCTTGTCCACTACTGATTGCAGTTGTCTATAGAATCTCTTCTTCTTCTTCTTCTCTGAATCTGCATTGCTTGTAGGTGCATAGAGTAGCATTTAATGAGTGTGACTTTCCTTCCTCTTAAGTTGAATCTTGCTGTCATGATCCTGCAGGAGGAGATTGCTTCCCACTACATGAGAGCCTTCGATGCTCTTGAAGGGGACATCATGATAGCCACTCCAAAACTCAGTGTGTTTGTGGTTGTCGCCTGGGTGACCGGAGTAGATTATTGACTCTCCAGTTAAGAGTTTGGAGAGTCCACTTCTATTCCATCTGTTGATTATTCGCAGATTCCTAGCAGTTCTGTGCCATACCTTCTCATCTCTTTTGTAATCTGGGCAGCCTTGCTGGTTTCATATATGGTGCGGACATTCCATGTCCCCATCCTTACTTTTGCTTTCACCGAGTGAAAAGAAGACACATTTGCCAATTGGCTTCCCGAATGCTTTCACCAACCAGCGTCATTTCTTCTCCCCGATTCCAGCAAGGAATAAGTTTAATTTAATTTTTTATATTTTCTTTGTGCTTTGAAGTTTGTTAAGTGATTGGGTTGATTTTCCGGGGTAGCGTTGCTAGCCTTATACCCAATCTTCCCCCTTTATCCGGACTCAAGACCGGCTAGTAAACTAGTTAAGCAGGCAAGGTTCAACACCAATGACAGCCAGATTAGTTCGATCTGGAGGTTTTCGGAGATTTATTAGTAGATTTCAGGAACCAACGAAATCGAACATGAAAACAGTTTCTCAACAACCACGCTGGAAGTAGGTCACGCTGTATCGTGAACTGATTGAAGTAGGAAATACGGACCACTGGACTTCTACCCAGTGATTCAATGGCAACGTGCTGCCCGTAAAACCCGAATTCGCTGGGTCCGATCGCTGGTGGGCAGTGTCATTGTTGCCAATTTTCAGCCATGTCACTAAGAATCCTCAACCACTGACGCCTTTCGACTTTTGGTGTATACGTCTCCCCACACGACTCACACTAATGGTCAGAGACTTCATCAACTGATATCACCACTTGCTTTACTCACGTCGAACCTTCTTCCATCCTAATTCAACTTCCCTTACTATGGCACGTCGAGGTAGGCGGTCGATTGGTATGCGTCGCTTATTTCCAAACTATCTCAGTCGACTAAGGTTCACAATTTCATCAGTCGACTTAGCCGTTTTACATAAACCTACACATATTACGTAAGTCTCATAGAGCAATAAACAGATGGATTACTGAGTTGTGGTTGGCCCTGGATTATTTATATTTATCTTCATGATTCCATGTAATTCGTAGCAAGAGAAATAAGTTTTTAATTTATATGTTCATCATATGATTTTTTCTTCATTTTCTCAGGTTTAGGGTTAGATGATGTTGAGCAGATTTTCTCTACAGTCAATTCAACTGAAGAAATTTGTAGACAAACTGGTTATTGTACACCAAAATATCATTCGAACAATGAGGCACTACCTTCAACATCAAATGACTTACAACATGAATCTTTAATCATTTCAAGAAACTGTAAATTAAAGGAAGTTGATGTGATATCCGAAAAAGAAAAGACTACCGAAGTATCAACGTGCAAAAGATCAGTTGTATACATTGATAGTCAAGAAGAGAAATATACTGGACATAATTCAGATAGTACATTGACATGTTCTGAAGCTGAATATCATCACAATTTAATTCGTCAAAAGTGTTTAAAGAAACGTCGATTAACTAAGCGAAAATCAAAACAATGTTCTTATGTAGCAAGCGATGAGTATGATTCAGATTCTTCGCTAAATGATACAGAATCTTTATCAGGGAATAGTTATAATCCAAGATCGTATCGTAACAATAATAATAATAATAATTTATCCAAGAAAATAAGTCATCCTACTGTGAATTCACAGCATCGAAATAAACATCTACCTCATTATAATCAGTCTTCCTCAGATGTGAATGAATTTGAACCTTGGTGGCCTAATCCTGTAACACGACGTATGTATAAAGATTTTCAATCAAATATTTGGTTGACAAACTCTACAAATTGTGATTATAACAAGAGACTAACTAAATACAAATCATCTTCTTTTCCTGATCAATTAATGTATAACTCAAATTTACAAAAATCTAATTCTTCTACAGATCAACATCAAAATAATCTCTATCATCGTTATTCTCATCAAAAGTGTATAAAAAAGATAAAATATAGTAAACAAATTAAATCTTTCAATTCTTCTATCAATTCATATTGGTCAATAAAACGAAAAAGTAAACAAATGGAATTATGGCAATTTATATTATGTCGTCTAGAGACAGCTAAACGGACAGCATTTCAATGGGTGAATCGATCCACTGGAATATTTCGTATTGTAAATACTCAGTCAAGTGCAAAAGAATGGGGTCATTATCGTAATAATAAACAAATGGATTATGAAAAAATGGCTAGAGCAATGCGGTAAGTTCTCTTCCAAGATGCATTGATTAGTATTTACATTAATAATTGTTCTATATGAAAAAATATATACTTTTTCATTTAAGTTAGATTGAAACACATTAATAGGCAAGCATGTCCAGCTGACGAGTCTCAAATAGGACAAAACATGTACCACTGCTAGCCACTAGTCATCAGTGTTAAAAAGAGTAAGTTTGCTACATTTTCAATTTTTGAGGAGCCAAACTCAGTAACAGAAAGTAATAATTTAATTAGGGGGTTTGTGAAAATTTAATGATTTTCCAAGTTAGTATTCATCATCAACCAACATCAGTTGGAGAAACTGTGTAAAACTGGGAGCAGTGGACAGCTATCCAGTCCTAGTATGAGACTTCTTAGCAGCGCGCATCCACGACCTCACCCTTTCTATGGTTATACCAAAAGCCTTCAGGTTCTGTGGCCAGCACGTTACCATTGAGCCATTGGGTCGGAATCTAATGGTCCATCACCTAATGTCATTGTTGAGTATTTGTCCTCACGCCCACCAGGTTTTCTCCATCGGTTACGACCCCTCATTGGAACTTCAGGAATCATCTCTCGAGGCCAGTCATCAATGAGCACTAGAAGGTATTAAGAGAAACCATACTGCATGGATCTGTGTCATCACTTGACATTTTGATGTAAGTCTTAGATACATATATTCATGCAACTGCAGATTTCACAAGTAAACTTCTTCAGTGCTGGGTTCGATCCCTTGCTGGTGGGGTCGTGGGTACACAGTGCTGAGGAGTTTCATACTATGAAAAAACAGCTGTCCATTTCCCAAGGTTTCTAATGTTTCTCCGACTAATGTCGGTCCTTAATCAATTCCAACCTAAAGTCAATCAACAAATCCCCATAAACCTCCAGATAATTATATTTTTGATTGGTAGTTTTGTAGTGTTCACACTATGCAAATGAACATTTTACTTAGATACTTAAACTGAGGCCGATTGTGTAATGTTTTGAAATATTAACCTTGAATTTACAACCAAGTGAAGGAATTGATGAGTCATAATTCCCTTTCATGAACAGAGTTAAGTGGATTTTTCATCAAAATGGAAATTTGCCGCATTACCTTAAAAAACACAAGATCTACGTTGAAGTTGTTCATAGTTTACTACTTCACCAGTCACTCCAGTAGGTTTTGTTATAAGCTACCCAATCATGACTATACTTTGCGGGTCCTCATAAAGAAGTTACGATGGATATGCGTGGCACATGATTCTTTTTGATTTTCAGTGACAAAACTCATCAGTTTATAATACTTCATGGTTTAAATGGCTTGGTTCTATGCCAGGAGGATTCAAGTGGTCTGTGTAATTTGGCTCTTAGAGTTGGATTTTTCAAAGCTATTTACTGACAATCTTGGTTACAATCTTGGTTATTCTGACTATTATGATAAGACTGGTGCAAAGTAAATAAAAAGGTGAATGGTGACACAAACTGGAATTAATGAAAGTGTATTCTATCTAATATGACAATCGTTGACTGAAACCATCTGTCTCCCAGCCTCCTTGCTCCCACTGAGACTAAAAAACGGAAGACATAACCTAGATCGAAAACGTTTATCCACTAAGCTAATACTGAGTAGTGATGCCGACCCTGTTCAATGGGTATAGTTTGATGTTATCACTTGCCTCGGATTCCCCCATCAGCCACTATTTATTCTCAATATTGAAATTACTTGAAACTAACCAACATTGTGAAATATTGACGTGGTTATCATTTAACTACTCACAGTATTCAGTAGTATAAATCAAAAGTTAAAACATTCATAAGGTAATTATTTTACTACTACTCAATAACATCACTTTTATTGTTTTCTAGATTTTATTACAAGGATTCAATATTGAGAAAATCACGTCAACAACTTCATTTCCAGTTTGCTATGCCATATGTTCAATGGGCAGAACATTTTTATCAAAATAAGAAGTAATCTGTGTTCATTATGCATGATGATGATGATGGTGATACAGTTGGACTGTCAGCAAAATGTTTGATGCCTTTAAACTACTATTATTGGCTTCTCTCAATTCCTTTCTCTTTGAAAAGAAATTATTCACCCCTACGAATTGTACATTGTGACCTTATTCTAATTTCGTTTTACTACGATTTGTTTACTTCCGGTCAAAATCCCTTTCTTCAATCTGTGAATTGTTCTCTCCTGTTCAGAATAGGATAAATTATTATTATTGTGAAGTAGAATTCATGCTTTGATATATTCTCTGTTGAGCTCTTCCGGGTCAAAATTTATTCCTTGGGTGAAGTGAATCTCATGCTACTTTCATGGGTCGGCTTTCAAAATAAGAACTATTAAGTACCAGGCAGTAAGGTGGATTGACACCTTCCTGATTTCGGAATCACAATCACATTATGCTTCTGATTGGATAACAAAAGTAGCTAATGACCATCAAGTCTTCAGTTGATTCTGCTTTTCAATAACCTGGTAAGAACCCCATTGGCGGAATAAGCTAACGTCACTTATATGGAGCAGGTTATAACACCAGTTAGTGTTGTTTAATAGTGAGAAGAACATTAAAATTCTAAATATAAAACAGATTCAAGCAATAAATTCGGTCAAATTAGCTACAGTACATATAAGTCAAGTTGAGGAATGTTCATAGGTATGTGAAATAAGATAAAGAATAAGTAGGAGCAATTTAGTAACCATGGGGAAATAATAAAATGAGCAGGTGAGATAAATATTGGTTGTATTAAAACAGTTCAGTAATAACATAACTGTAGTCAGTATGAATATAGATGAGGATAAGCATTCTAAAAATTTATTAAAATTTTTGGGGAACCTTAGAACGTGAAAAGTCACTAGTTACCAAAGCAGCTGATGAAATTCCCTGAAATGAAATGATAAAATTTTATTCGACAAATAGTGTTCTCATTATTTTATAAATGACACGGCTTTTATTCAATTTCAGTGGATTTTAATCTGTTTCATAGTGCTTATGGTCACTCAACTTCACTGTTAGAATGTTGAAGATGATCTGCTGTAAGTTACAGATATAGTTTTTATGCCTATTGGCAATCGTCGGTAAGATGTTTATCGGACCTCAAAGAAAGTTATGTCCTCTCAGAGATTCAAGACTAGGTTCACAGCTTCATACCGATTACTTTCATGCATCTTACACTAATCAAAGTCCATTGTGATACTGATACTCCTAGGAAGAGATGACATTACGAGATGATCAATAGATTTCGGTCAGTAGTTTGAGCTAGACAGCATAATTCATTTTCTATGGACTAATCAATGTATCCGTCTTCACTGATAACTAAATTTCAGTCAAAGTCGACGATGCGTAGTTGAATCTATTAAAATTGTTTCAAAGAAACATGAGGGACTGTCACAACTCAACAGCTACTGACTATAATCATTTCCAGTAGGCGTGAAGTAATTAACTCAACTATAGAAGTAAATTTGATGGGTATTTTGAAACAAGAAGTTTCGAATTCAGCGTTGATGACCGTTAGTCTTGTAAAGCAAGACATTTATTTACAGTTCAGAAGATTTCTAGTCCACCTAATAAACAAGAATATATCTAAATCACTGAAAAACTGATTGATTTCAGTCAATTAACATTAAAAACAGTGGATAAATGGATCATGCGATAAACTATGAGGAGCTGTGAGAAGATGGTTACACGCTGTTTGTCCTGTGAGAAGATCCCAGAAGACGATTTGGATGCCGATGATGATGATTTATGTCTAATGTCTTATGTAACACAAACTCAAAGATCGACAGGCAAAAACTAACATATTTCATAGAAGAGGCAGGACAGCAAAGATGGGACTCAATTCAGGTGAACGTGGAGAAGACAGAGGTAGAGGTGATGAAGATACTCAACCACCAACACCACCACCACCAACAACAACAAACACCAATCACCATCAACAGGAGAAATCCAAACGAAGTTATCTATTTCACTCACCTACCTGTGCAGGGCAGCATCGTTCCAACTACAGGCGGCGGTGGCGGCAGCGGTGGCCGCATAGATGAGGCTGTCAAAGACAGCTAAGATCGGAAAGACAGTAATACAGGCCTTCATTCATCAATCTGGAATCAGTGTGTGTGGAGATCTACTGCACTACACTACACTACACTACACTACACTACACTACACTGCACTAAGCATAAAGTGTCAACATGATCCGGATTTTAAACACCAACGTCAACCAAGTAATTCACTGCTTCTATGTGATGGTTGAGAGACTTGTCACGTCACCGAAAGCATTTCCAACAAACAACAGACATACATGAACAGCTGCCGCTCACACTCACTCGATACTGAATATCAGATGGATGGCCAGAATAGTTAGAATAAGCAAGAAGAAACTCACTCTGATGTGACAACGAACCAACCAAAGAAGAAGCTATCACCCAACAAATATGCAGCAGAATGCAGTGGAGATGGATTGTATTGGTCATAGACTGAGAAGACTGTTTGGGGACATCACTCAGTAGTCCAGGCCAGTAGACCAGGTCAGTCCAGATCGTCGAGTTGAAGCTATATGGGAAATGACGGGTTGGGCGTTCGAGGTGAGGATGAGATGTATGAGATTGTGTGAGGAAGTAATAAGAGGTTCTGGGGAATTGTGGAGCTGTGTTGAAAAGACTTGAGAGAGTATAGATAATGAGATGTTGACGTGCAACTGAAGCCCTATATTCCACTAGGAACCCAAAGGACAACTAATCACAAATAACTTGTTTGAACTTATACTGAACATTTTGGTTTTAAGAAGCCTGTAGTTTAATTTCATGGTTTAAGTTCGTTTACATGTAGCAGCCTGCAGTACGCTGTATTTCGGTAAATCGGAAGCGCTGAATTTGACTTGTTCTACAGAAGTTATCTCTATTGCTTAGTGTAAATTCATGGGATAAATTTATACATATGAAGTACTGCGGTACCGTTTACTTTAAATTGAGTTTTTAGTAGTAAATGAATCCCCGGAATCAATTACCTGTGGTTCGGTAGTGCTCAACACTGGTAATGATGTTCATTACTTTGATAAACTTGTTTAGTTGAACATATACTGTCAATCGTCCAACTCAAATTTCTTCATGCTGTTGTGCTACCATGTGTTATGCGTTCATAATCCTCCAGCTCATTCACTGTCGTACTCTCAGTTCGAGATAGTTAAGTTTGATAGTAGTCGGTTTTTACATCTGTAAAAACCGCCTTCATAACATCCTATTTTGTGGATTTCTATTGTTTTCGATAATTTTAATATAGGTGTAAAACTTGGGCACTGTGGTAGAATTTAATTCCATACTAGATTTGTTCATTTGATATATACACCACACAGTGATACAGTATTATTTACTTGGTGGTGTTTTGAGCACAAGTTATTGCTCATAACCATGTCAATACTTTCGATACTAATGAGTCTTTGTTGGTTCATACTGTAGGAAACGAGAAGACCGAGGTGCAGGAAGGAATGTATATTACTGACATCTTGTACAGTAGTTATCATGGATGTTACACCTTGCACTAAGACAGTCATTTGCAAAAATGTGGTTCATTTCCTTTTCTGCTTCTATCTTCATTTGCTCTTAATACGCCTACATTGTCTCATGCGTTTCTCTGGGCAGAATCTTTACCCACTGCTGGTAATTCCCTATGATTTCTGCCACCCTCTCAACATATGCTACTTATATCCATTCTGATCAGTAGAGCCCACTACAATATGTTTGTACTACTGTTATTATATATATGGGCAAGAAGATAGCAAAACATATCTGTGTGAGACTAAAGGTGGGGCGGAGAATTTAGCTCCTACGATTTTGGTTAGACAGTGTAGAAAATGCCTCTGTGTGTTGAACCCGATTTCTTTGAAAAGAATATCATATCCTCTCATTCTTGGTTCCTGGCAGCTGCGTAAGAGGAAGCATTAAAAGGCAAACAAGTTCACTGCTGCAGCAGCTGATCCATCCACATCATTTAAAACCACTTTTCCAAAGAAAAATTACCTCATAGATTAATTATTTCACAACATCCAGTTAGAAGACGTTTTAGTAACTGATACGCTTGCATGAATGTATGAAGTAACTGAATAAGCAACTTTCGATAAATCATCTCTTTGCGCGAATTGTTTTTCCACAGGCTACCCCACCAATGAAAAGCGTGCTTTTTATGACCTAGCCTGTTCCTATGATCTGGCATTTTCAGTCGATAGGATACTGGAGACTTCTCAGTGACCTTTTTATTTAACGTGTACTGGGTTACAAAAAGCCGAAATGTTAGGAATCTAAAATAACAGAACTCTGCAACCGTCGTAAACAACTTAACCAGTTCAAAAGTCAGAAATTCCACACTGTATTAAAAGTATTGTCTGGAATAGAGTACTTATTATTATTATTATTATTATTATTATTATTATTACTCTATAGGAAACAAAACTTCCTTATCCTACCCCATTGTAGCAATCCCCGTAGCCAGTGGAATGTAAAACTATGCAGTGATGAGGACGCTGAGTGATATTTGAACCCCAACATCAGTGATCAGGATGTATGACCACAATTTAAATTCTTTTCACTGATGCTCAAGAAAAAGTAACGTTGTATAAAATTGTTGAGTGTATGGAGAAGTTTTTGAATTACCTAAATGACAGGAAGTATATCGTATATCTTTTGTACCAGCATCTACTATGTGGCTGAAGATAAAGGGAGTTAATAAATTGTGACAAGAATGTTCACATTATACTTGGATCTAACTACGAGACACATCAACATTTTAATTTCCAATTTATGTTACATTTTTCAATGTGATTATGATTGTTTTCTAAACGATATATTAGACAAGAGTGTGTAAAACCGATCGTTAAGAATGAGTAAATGAAATTGCACATATTGATCAATCAGAGACTTTATTTCATTTGATGAAGTAGTCTACTTCATATGTCAAAGAATAATTCATAATTTCAATGTTAGATTCTTTCCAGGTAAAAACATATTTTGAGTATATTGATTTTGATGTGAGACAGCTCAGCGGTATGCACCCATGATTTTGCATGGAATCCAACGAATGACCTTCAAGAAGTTAGAATTTATAATTTTACTGACTTTCATTATGGCATTTAGTGGTTCTATTAATATGTGTAATGGTTTATTGGCCTAATGTTTTCCATCTTCAATTAAAATGAATATAATGTGGGAAAGCATCTGCGCCGTTGAGACAGATTGCAAACCGAATCTCCAGTCACTGAATTAGGTTGTTGCACGAACTTCAACC